CGATGGCGAGTCTTCAGTCGACTCAAGACTTGATCGACTTCTAGGGCTGCCCCCTAAAAGTCGACCAAATGTTAATCGACCAAAAAGGTCATTAGTCAGCAAGATGTCATCGCTTGATCGCAGAAAAAACAAACAAACGTGAAACTCTATTAGGAGCTGCGCCTTGTAATAATAAAATCTAAACCTACATGACTGGACCATGTGGGAATTTAATTTGAAAGGATAGAAACAGGAAGTGGCCACGCTCAGCAGTCAGACAGGAGTCAGGTTAATTTCCAGGGCTGGTACCTGCGGTTATTCCACAGGCTAGTTAATAACATGTCGGGCAGGAAATCCAAAGTGTGGGATCATTTTGAGAAGGTGAAGGACGAACCCAAGGTGATATGTAAACTCATCTTCATTGGTCGACTACAAACATGACTGCCCAATCCCAAACCACTCCCTACCCACTACCACTTCACTACCGAGTGTCACTCCAAATCAAGTTACACTTGTAGCTGTGGAGGGCACTCCTGATTAAGGGGAAGTGTATGAAGAAGCCAAACCATGGGACACCCTCGCCACTCTACTGGAAGAATGAAGCAGATGTAACCATGGATACCGACAGACGCTTTGTGAAAGCAAAATAGAGCAACAAGCTATAAAAAAAACATTTAAATCTTAATTAAAATGAGTTATATTAAAAATAAACTTGAATAAGTCAGATAAGAGATACAGTGCAGTGTAATCAAAGTAATTAACTTGTTCATATTTTCTAGACACAGTTTACACATTTACAGATTAATTCATCTGGGCAATCTTACCTCCATCCCTGCTTTGCAGCATTCCTCTTTTTAGTGAAGAGACTCTGATTTTTAATCCGTAGATCGATTAACTGCTTTGTTTTTTCTTCTGTCCCTGTGAACACAGAATTATATATATTTTTTTAAAAATCATGAGAATAGGATGAGGAATTTCTTAGACAGTTTTAAATAATTTATTTAAAGGGGCAAAAAGCGAAATTGTTTCACCGCTAGGTTTGCTGTTGTGCACTGCCTGTAGAGCAAAACAAAGTGTGTCATGAGCCATTCCTCCCTCTACCTCTGCTCTCCAACACCCCCACCCCCCCCACTCGCCTTGTCTGTGCCGGCGAGCACCGCAGCATCTCCACAGACTATCACATCCAGACGGTTCTGGTGTTTCTTCCGCAGGCTCCACTTCACTCAGCTTCACTCAGCTGCCCGATATACCCGCTGCTTCTTCCCACATTAACCTGAATAACAAACCAGGGCTTGGTGCTCCGGTTGGATCCAAACGGAGAGCAGCTAACGGAGGCTAACTGGCTGTGTTAGCAGCTGAGTGAAGTGGAGCATGAGGAGGAAGCACCGGTTATTCCCACTTTCACTTCAGGCAGATTCACTCGCCACAGGGGCAAGGAAATAAAACCTAAACAGCCAACTTAGTTTAGTAGTTAGCGATGTCTTTCACTCACTCTTGGTCTCTGCTGTGTTTAGCTATTTCCCAGCTTTCCTGTTAGCATTGACACTAGGCCACGCTAACGTCCCTACTCTTCTCCGTGAGCCGGAGCCATGAGCCCACGAGTCTGCGGAAGAGAAGAGTAGGGACGTTAGCGTTAGCACTAGTCGGCTGCCACGCTAACGTTCCTACTCTTCTCTGTGAGCCTGTGAGCCCGCGGCTCATGGCTCCGGCTCACGCAGAGTAGAGACGTTAGCGTTAGCTCCCAGAGTTAGCACTAGAGCTACTACGGCTACTGGAGTAACTTACAGCTATGGAGCGCTTCTACCAGCTCTTCTAGTCAAAATAGCTAAACACAGCCCGCCAGGCTGCCCACCGGGCTACATTTTACAATGCTAATTGCTGCTAATGTTAGCTGGGCTGCCGGGCTACTCACCTAACACAACCGTAACGCCTGACCCATTGCTGGGACAGAGCCGCTAATAACTCAAGCTCCTGAGGATCTAAATGATGACTTTTGGTCAACTAGGAATATTCTTAGTCAGGGGCAACCCTACTAGATTGTTTACATCCACGTTTGCTTTCTTTTTTTCAGGCTTTTTGTTGGCACATTTCTTTAAATGCTGCTGCCACCAACTGTCAGTGGAATAGTGTGAAACCGTTGTCAGGAAGGTGTATTATGTCATCTGTGAGCACATGCATGTAGATGTGGATGTTTGTGTGCATTGAAGCATGAGATACAATGAATGCGGATATTGATCCCAACCCTGGATCAAATGGTCAAAAACTTTTGCTGCATCTGGAATCACAGCACTGCCTCAATGGCTTCTCCCACAAAATCTTATTGTTGAAAACTGCAAGCAGCGACCAACATGTGACTGATGTAAGACAGTGAATGAATTTAAAATATTGTTTTTCTTTTTCAAACTATTGATGTCACTCTCATGTTTGTGTTTGCTTGGATTTGGGCTGTCTCCAATCATTTGACCGAAGCTTTACCAGCAAGCATTGTTCCCCTTATTCACCTTGTAATAAACAGCATCATTAAAAAGGTGGCAGCCATCCCACCACATCTGGACTTTGAATGATCTTGCTCTGACGCAACATGAAGTCACAGCCACAACTTAACACTGAATAATAAAACAGTTATACAGGAATGTTTTGTATGAACTTCCTTTTCGCATATATTGTATATTATTGTAAAATTTTGACACCTTTATTGATGCTGCATCTGCTGCTCAATTGATCAGATATAATCTGAAAGAATAATGCTCAGACACCTGAGTCATGAATCAAACTGACTCACTGATGTTAAAATATTTAAACATTATTTGTATTCCAGCGTTTGTTCGCTGCATTCAGTGCTGTCTGCCAGCAGAGGCAGGTGAGCAAACTGATTTGTTTGGAGACTAAATCTCTGTGTGTAAGTGTGTGTATGTGTGTGTGTGTGTGTGTAGAGACAATAACTGCTGTGATAGAGTCCCTCATCCCTTGTTCCCTCTGCCTCTTTCACTTTTCAACTTTCAGAGAATCCCTTCTTTTCTTTGTCTCACCTCCCATTACTCTTCTCCTCTGTCATCTTTAAACACTACACACACACACACACACATCCCAACCCCAGCACTGCAATGCTAACAGTCTGTCTTCCTTATTCCTTACTTAAGTGATACTGGATTGTTGTGTTACAACATCATCACTCACACAGTAACACACACACACACACACACACACACACACACAAACCAGGCATAACAGCAATCCTCTTCTCAAGCCTCTGCCAATCACAGGTTGGTATCTCACACAGGTCACTATCATAGGTGCCAGTATTGATTGACAGGCTTCACAGCATCTAAAACACATGACTTGTTGCTGTAGCTGAACACATTTTTAACAGTAACAGAATCCATTCCTATAAAGTCACATCACCCTGTCTGTTACACTATCCATCAATCTGTGCATACCCCCTATTATAAAGAAAACCACATCAATCAATGAAATCTGAGCAAAATCCAACCTCCAACAGGTAGCCTGACAGTGAACACAATATGGCCTGGCAGGCTGATGTTAGGCAGCCTGCTGTCATAAGTCACCGTCCGATCCTTTTCATCTAGTGATTGCACATCATAGACATCATAAAGTTTTTCAAGAAAACACCATCTGTCATGTCGTTAGCAGCCGATGCATTCAGTGATCTGCCGGACACTATTTCAGGTGGGGGACTGATTTAAAAGCTGACTTCTTTGGCCTGGCCTGCCCTGGCTAACCATGATGACTCAAAACCATTGCCCTCGCGTAGGCTAACAAACTGCAAACAAGCTGCCAACAAGGCTATAGGCTAGCATAAGTTGTCACAAGAACTTATTAAATATCTCTTGATGTGAAACTGAAACCTCATCTAGCAACATTAGATCAGAAAAGTCACCATTATTAGCCATTTTCTGGCATAGACATCTTTGTCTTATAGCGTTGATGTTGCAAATAGTCTACAAAAGCATGACATTACCTGACGTTATGTCCACCAAAGATTTTAGAAATCCAAGAGTAACTTAAGAAAAAAAAAAAAATCCCTGGTTGACATGCTGTGTTAACTCAGATTTTACTGAAGTAGAATAGAAAGGTTACATTTGCTACGTTCTCATTACAAGTTTGTCTGCTTCCATCCTCTACCATCTGAAGGTTAGCGTTAGCAACGTA